ATACGGAGAATGGTCGCACTGCGCAGCTTTCTGAGTGCCTTTTGAAAGGAGATAGAAAACTCCGCCATTTTGAACCCTTATTACGTATTGCCTACATCTTGGCGCAATATTTTTGATAGGTGCGTTTTAATCATCCGCTTCTGCTTCGGAATTGTCGGTTTTCTTGTTTTAATCTGACAGGTTAAAACGACTAAACCGACAATACCGGAAGCAGAAGCGGCCCAACATATGGCGCGGCCATTTTGAACCCTGTGACACAGTTTACAGCTAAAGAATCAGATCGCTCACTCTGCGTCGGCACTTCGGATCTCAATGTTTCAGTTTATACACTGCAACTCGGATAATACAATATATGACAACCGCCTATAATAAAACAGCAGTCTTCTGCGTATCCTGAATTTGTATCCCTGAAGTGGATGTTATTTTGGAACTTTAAACTGGTCCGAGTGAGCTAACTGATTCTTTAGCAATAAACTGTGACTTCAAAAATAATATTCACAGACATTGACAGCAGCAAGCAAAATATCAGGTGCGTTTTAATCATCCGCTTCTGCTTCTGGAATTGTCGGTTTATTCGTTTTAACCTGTCAGATTAAAACAAGAAAACTGACAATTCTGAAGCAGAAGCGGATGATTAAAACGCACCTATTAAAAATATTGCGCCAAGATGTAGACAACACGTAATAAGGGTTCAAAATGGCGGAGTTTTCTATCTCCTTTTAAAAGGCACTCAGAAAGCTGCGCAGTGCGACCATTCTCCGTATAGTAAAAGAAAATCAAAGTATGTGGTCGGACCTCTCTCTTGCCTCGTATAGTAATCAAAGTATGTGGTACAAATGGAATGGTTAGAGAACTGTTCAGAATTAAGTACCATTGCACAATAGGTGTGCGCATGGTTCTGGAATAATTCTAGAACGTGAACCAAAACAAACCTTATGTAATTTGGGAAAGTGTATAGGAGAAATTGTTTAAAACAATTTCACTTTATTTAAAATTAGTCAAGCGCTTTTCGCCGATTAAGGCATCATCAGGACTTTTTCAAAAAACCATAAGAACAGAAGAAAAAAAAACATCAAGAACATTATACATCAGCTAAGAGCTCTGGCAAACATATGCGTAGGGCCACAACATCGAGTCCCACCACCAAATTAGGATAGTTAAGAATCATGTAAACTAACAGTACATGATTATAAACTATCCTAATTGGGTGGTGAGAAACAATTTCTCCTATACACACTTTAAATATAAAATCTTTCATTTTATCCTACTATTCAGTGTGTAAACAACTACAACCCCTAAGTGGATGTTTAAAGCACAGATATATATTGAATTAAGCTCACATTTCTTATCATAATTATTATAATTATTATGGTTTAAAAAAAATTAAATTATTTTGATAAAAACCAGCAAAATACACATAATATAGGAAAAATTAAATAAAATAAACACCAAAGTATTTGCGGAAAGTTTTTTAAAATATTTTTGAAAGTAAACGAGAAATTAAAAAAAAATGTATTACGTAATTAAATAGTTGAAAATTTTAATAACTTTTGTAAAATAAAAAAAGAAATTACCACCAAAAGGTTTAGTAGAACTGACCAATATAACAAACAGCATTTAGACTTCAACATGTTCCAAACCGGGAAAATACAATAATAAACTACCATCATATAGACCAATCTGGCCTCTACATCTGTATCAAAACTATTTGAAAAAAGTATAACTATAACGTCTAAAAGGGTAGCATTAGTTTTGGAATCCTAGTGGGTTCATTAATAATTTGTTTAAGATTATAAAGTTTGACTAAGTTCGTAAAATTTATGGAATCACTATTAAGAAAATTAATATTTATGTCCTCACCATAGATTAATTCTTTACAAGATGGAATCTGCTTGACATTCCTGAAAATCGATTAAATTAGGGACGCGGTTACCTGAAAACGGAGACTCAAACGTCAATTTTATTCACTAACCGTTATATTTTTACGGTTACTATTAAGTCGAATGTCAATCTGTCACAAATCTCGTTCGTGATCCAAATATAACCAAGAAATTAGTTTTTTTCAAGTGCCGCTGTCAAAAAAACCTGGTTACTTTCGGTTAGTAGTCGGTTAATATCGGACCATACCCTTAATTTGTCGTTTATGTCAAACTTGTTCTCGTAAATTTAAAAATATGGATTCAGATTTTGAATTATCTGCATTGGGATTCTAATCGGCACGTGGTAAGAAGCCTATCTTCGTTTCACAGAATGCGATTCTTATGTAATGTCCCTTTCTATTTGATTCGTTACGTGTTGAGTTCGCACATAAGAATCCCTGTCCTGACCACGGATCCTGACATAGAAAATGAAAATTTGGTTAGTTTATGCAGTTGTGTCCATTATCTAGTTTTAGTATTTATTAATCATTTTATTAAATAAAATTAGGCATTATTTACTCTATGACTAACAGGAACAAAAACATTTGTGCATGCTCCTCCCTAGTTTTTAATAACTCTCAAATTCAAAAACTTGACCGATTTTAAATAGGCCATTGACCTTTCTAAATACACATCACATGTCTGCTTTGCCTTCTGATCCGTAAATTCTGTGAAAATCATCAACACATCACATCGCATCGTATTGGATATAATATACGTTTTTTTTATTCATCGCGATCGTGATGCAAGAATTACGTAATTAAAGTATCCAACCGTCGTTCTTTTTCTTTTATGCTCGCTGGCTAGTGGTCTGACGACCTAAATTCGTTGGTGTAGCGTGGCTGAGAACGATCAACGATTTAAAATAGATCGGCCAAGCCTACCGGAGTACTGTCTAGAAAAAAAGGTTTTATTAGTTAGGGATTTGCTTGAAAGAACGATGGAAAGTGGAAAGAAAATAAAATTGATAGGTATAGTAAAGTCAAATTGTCGTAAAAGAAATGACAGTCATTATAGAATACCCTTGAAAAATCATCGCATACAAATAAAAGCTCCAAAATATTGGAAACACATTTTCCCATTCAGGTTAGATTAGAAACAAATTCTCCCACTCATAATCAAATTGCCACTCCCCACTAAAACGGCAACTCTTACTGAAATTGCGACTCCCACTGAAACTGCAACTCCAGCTCAAACTATGAATCCTAATCAAACTGCCACTCCTATACTCAAACCATAGATCACATGACTGATGTTTCAGTTCCTACCCTAATGCATGAAGCTCAGCAATTAATTAAAATAGTCATACATTTTTGTCACTATGTAAATTTATTAATGTAGAAAAAACGTATTAATTTAATAGTAATTTTAAGTCTTGACATTTTTTGTTTCCGAGGAAGACTGAAAACGTTTAATCTTGTTATTTTGACATCAAACTAATAATTTTCTATGTCATATACTTGCAATTTATTTTAAATTAGGTACTTGCAGTAGAATGAACATTACATTTTGATGGAATTTCACTTATGTAATGAGCTGGCTCAAATTCAAAAGGGTATATCAGCTTCATCAGTTATGTAACATGCTCACACAGCTTTGAGAAATTGAAATTCAAACAAGTTATAAAGGTAATTTTAAAAAACCAACTCCAAAATCGTGCAGATGACATTACAATTTAAGTTTGCGGATTTTAGCCTTCGAGCATATATGCTACCAAAAACGAATATATTTTTTATATTTCATAACATTGGCACTTATATTATTTGTATATACAACTTTTCTTGATACATCGTATTTTCAACTCAAATTTGAATAACTAAAACACTTTAAATTGCTAATAACACCAACAAATAATTCAAAAGACAGTGGTCCATGATGATTCACTCACGCGGAGACGAGCGTAGAATAGAAATGTAGGAGCAATTCGGGCGTCGTGGACACAATGATTTTTAATTGGTGGGATACTTAGGGTTGAAATAAACAACGTGCGTGATGTGTAATGTTGCATCTCCGGTCTCTTTAATCTAAGATGTAAAATTATTCTTAGAATTATATTTGTAATGCTCTGTCATTACAAATGCGCGTATTGCCGAGTGTCCAATTAAAACCAACGAAAAAGAAATATAAAAAAAGTATGGTATATATTTCCAAACACTTTAAAAAGAACTATCTGTAACGTGTAGAGGGTGGGTTACCCCCACGGCACTTAGGCCTCATTAGGCCCATTGTGCATCCTCCTGAGATGATAGGCACCTCCTAGCTCGTGAGCCAGCCTACAGATTTTATGTAGTTGACAACGTCGCCAAGAGATGCTTCTCTTATATCGGCTGGTGTTAGCCGCTACTCGCCGAACACAAATCTAAAAAGAACTAATTCTATTAATTTATTTTATGGCTCTTTCTAAAAAACTTTTTTTTTCATCTAATTTTCAGTCACAACCGGCGATTTATTTATCTATTTTGATTGAATTTTTGTAGTAAATAATAACTAAATATTAATATTACATCATCTATAAAGTAATAAACAATGTACTTTTAGAAAACCTTTAAACATAATTACTTTGTGCTATCCAACTTTTTTGAAACAAGGGAATTTGTTTAACAAAATACACCAGCCAGCCAAATTTAAAGTACTATCAACGGCTGGGCACTTGGCAACATCGCGCATTTGTAATGACAGCATGATATATTTAATTAAGAATAAGTTTACATAAATATTCCTCATAAGTCCTTAATATATAAAATTTAAAAAATGGTAATAATATGGGGTCATAACTGTGGTATATTTAAACAATACACTCCTTCTTTAAGCCTAAAATGTAAGTTTTGTAAAAAAAAATGAATTTTTAAGAAAAGCGCGTCTTCCCAATATGTACCACTCTTTTTATTGATATGGGATTAGAACTTATTCTCCATCAAATTTCCGTGTCTTAAGCGAGTCGATTCTGTAGTTTTTTACTGCTTCATGTAATATTTTTGCCATGTCACTTTTTTTATTTCTGATATTACAATTATTACATATTTTATATAAAAAAAATGTGAAAGAACGAAATTTTATTTTTGCATTTATTATTTCAGCAAGATGGGGGAATCACTGAGTAAAGCAACGCAGCCAGAAGAAGTAAGTTGTAATATTAATTTATTTTAAAACAGCTTATTATATAATTTATTTACAACTATATTCAATAATTTATTTAAAACAGTGATTTATCTCAAATACTTATTTCCTATATTTCAAACACTTATTATACTCGTATACTAAGTTATATTAATGATTTATCTTTGCACTTTAAAATCACTTTTTAAACCGACTTCTCCATCAACAAAGCAGCTTATATAGAATGGTATAAGTTCTCCAACTTACCAGAACCTACAATCGATGAATCACCATTCCTTAGAAGTTCCAGATTAAACTAGGTTAAGACCTTTTCCAAAAATTGCAATTTCGTATCATTCATTGAACAGTCGAGAACCTCGTGAAGTTGCATATCAACTAAATTCTAGCAATTTATCGGACTGCTGAACGGTGATAACATAAACAAAGATCAGGACCGGACTAATTGAAAATGGCTCGCATGTCATTGTGTTTGTTAATTTCTAATTCATAAAAACAATTTTAAAACTGTTCATTAAATTAGGTACTGAATAAAATGATATTTTCAAATGAGGTGTCACGCATTAGAATACGTAACAGTTTTTGGTCCAGAGAGCTATAAATCAAAAATAACGCAACTAACAGTAATATTACTGAATTGCCCAAAAAAAAATGTACAACGTACAACAGGTGACAAACGTACCTAAATTTGGTAATTGACAGTAGACAAGTGACAAAGGCAGATTGACACAGAACGATATGACAAGTAGAAAGAGCGTTCGAGTGGTTCTGGTGTCAACCCGGGTTAGACCAGACTTATCATCAAAAGAATTAAACATTTTATAATAATGAACAAGAGGGAAAGGAATATACTAGGATTCTAAGGACATGAACCATAGATATCCTAAGAGACCTAAGTATAATACTAGGCCAGAGAACTTGAAGTAAATAGACGTGAGAAATGAAATCTTGAACCGAAAATGATTTTTTAAAAAGTTTAATTTTACTTAAAATACAATAAATTTAGATGTTAATGCTTTGAACGCTAACTAGGAACTTACTAGGATCTGAATAAACTACTTTTATGTAAACAAACTATTCTAAAATGCTAACTATGCAAAATCGTATATTTTATATATTCTCCATTAGTATGGGTGATATAACTCCTCCCCCTGAAGATCCAGGTTCCGAGGGCTAACGAGGAAGATGGACATCTTGTAGGTTGAACCTTTCTTCTGTCCCTCTTGGATTTTCTTTAAGTTTTTTCCATCTTATAAATAGCCAGAAGATAAGGATGAAAACTAATATAAATATTTTGAATTATGTTTTCTCGTAGAGTTTGAAGGTCATCTAGATTGATAGGTTGCAATTTGATACTGGGAGTGGACCATTCTTTTTCGGCAATTTCGTCGTCCATTTTGGGAAATAGAATTGGTTGATTTTCGAATGAATTTGACTCAGCATTAACAACGGTTTCATCCTCAGTTATAATTTGACAATTTGTGGGTATTACTACTAGGAAGGTTCCAAACAGCTTAATTATTTCTTCTTGAGAATTACATTTAAGAGTTAGCCTAATTTCTTTGGGTAGGACCAAAATCCATTAATTCGTTTGTTCTAACCTCGTGAATGAAGGGCGTATACGGCTATGGATACTTGTGGGCATGTGAAGGTGGTTTCGTAGTTTAGAAGTTGGATCTCGCAAAAACTATTCTGATTTACTTTTCTGAGACTGCGTTGGGTCACAAATTTAATTTTGACTGGACATCTTGGTGCAGGAGCTACTCGAATAAGCATAGTACAATTTATTTTGTACAACATATTTATTTTCCGGGTTAATCGCCTTAAACTGACCTTTTTTCAAAATAGGTATAGGATATAAGTTATATAGGGTTAAATCTACAGGTATAGTTATTGGAACATGTAATATACAGGGTGTACCAATAAAAACTCCCAGGCCGGATATTTTGGTAAATAATAGAGATATTTTAATTCTGTAAAAGCTTGTTTATAGAGCACTAAAAGAGCTGCAGTTTTAAATATAAATTAATTTTAAATAGGTCAATGTGTGGATGGCGCTGCGCTCAATATTTTTTTTTTTTTTCGATGGGAGAATCTTTCTTATGTAGCGCATCTGGTAAAAAATGCATTTTTAAGTAATTATGTTCTATGAACTAATTCGATAAATCTAGCCATTTTTGATATACAGAGAGGGTCACTCAAAACAGTTTTATCCTGTTTTTCGGCATTAATAATTATATTTTTAGAAAATACTAAAACAAGTCGAGTCTTATTCTAAATTAAACACATTTTTACAATAAAGACATCTGTCATGTGTCAACCCCCTCCCTTCCACTTCTCCAACCCCTTAATTTTAAATAAGGAATGTACCATGTATGGCACATCATTAAAAAGGTAATTTTAAGGGGAATGCAGAAATATGACAATTTGTTGCGATACTTTTAATTTTAGCGCCCTCTCTATCAGGATGAAAAAATATGTAACGTATTATAAAGTGTGATACTTCATTTGAAAGCTAATTTAATTACTAATTCAATGCACCACATAACATTAATATAAATATTTCCATATTGCACTTGCAACAAAATAAAGTTAGCAATAATGTTTAAAATAATGCATGACTAATTTTCAAACTATTGCAAGTGCAGTATGGAGGATATTTATATTAATATTATGTGGTACATTGAATTAGTAATTAAATTTGTTTTCAAATAAGGTGCCACACTTTAAAATACGTAGTTTTTTATCCCGATAGAGGGCGGTATAATTAAAAGTATCGCAATGAACAGTCATAATTCTAAATTCCCAATAAAATTACCTTTTTAATGATGTACTACAAATTGTAGTATCATACTCTATAATACGTAGTAATTTTTTATTCTGCTAGAGGGCGATACAATTTAAGTAACGCAATGTACAGAAATATTTCTGAATCCCCCATTAAATTACCTTTTCAATGATGTGCCATACATGGTACATTACTTATTTAAAATTAAGGTGTGGAGAAGCGCAAGGGAGGGGATTGAGACATGACAGATGTCTGCATTGTAAAAATGTTTTTAATTTGGAATAAAAATCGACCTGTTTTAGCATTTTCTTAAAATCCAATGATTAATGCTGGATAACAGAATGAAAATGTTTTAAGTGACCCACTCTGTAGATCAAAAACGGCTAGATATATCGAATTAGTTCATAGAACAAAATATGCCTAAAAATGCATTTTTTACAAAATGCCCTACACAAGAAAGATCCTCCCATCGAAAAAAAATCATTGAACGCAGCGCCATCTATATATTGACCTATTTAAAATCAATTTATATCTAAAACTGAAGCTTTCTTAGTGCTCTGTGAACTGGCTTTTACAGAATTAAAATATCTCTATTACTTACCAAAATATCCGGCCTATGAGTTTTTATTGGTACACCAGGTATATGTTATTCTATTATTAGAAAGAAAGCAGGATATTTTTATAATCTTTTGCAGAAATAATACATTACCGTCAAACGGGGTTAAGTGAATCATAGTGGGTAAAATGAATCACTGGACACTTTTTGGAAAATCGGCAATGTTGATCATCGAAAGCTTTAAGTTTATTCCATGTGCCCATCAGAGTGTCGCTTCAGTGTACCTTTGGATGTAGTACCGAGTGTTTTGTTGCGTTTAAGTAGACTGGTAAGTTAGTCGAAAAGTTTATGGGATCAACGATTTTTGTTTATTTATGAAATATTAAAAACGACACAGTGTAGAACTCATTGTTTTAAAATTTAATTTGTTTAAATAAAATAAATGTATTTATTAGGTAGTTAGCAATATAATATTAATATATTTCATGTCGTAATATTTGTAGTAAAGTTGTCACTTTTTTTTTAATAAAAAAAAAGCCGGTAAAAGGGGTAAAGTGAATCACTCATGTTTTTGTAATATTTGGGTTGCATTGTATAAATTGTTTATTTTTATTCTATCATATAATAAAATTGTGCAGTTTTTGTTTTTTTATTAATATATTTTTTTAGTTTCAGCATGCCAAGGGTGTATAAAAAAAAGTTGGGACCACGAGGAAAATGTAATTATGATCCGGTGTTGTTGTCCGGGCATTGGCAGAGGTTCGACGCGGAATGTCTAAAAGAGAAGCTTTAGAACAGTTTGGCGTTCCTTTAAGCACATTTCAAAGAAGGTATCATGGAAAAAATCCCTTAAAATATGGTCGGCAGACTGCACTAACTGAAGCTCAGGAAACTAGACTGAAGAAAACCCTAGACATTTGTGCCGAGTGGGGATGTCCGTTAAAATGTACGGATGTTAGGACAATTGTGCAACAATATTTAAACGAAATTGGAATGACAGAAAAAATATTTAAAGAGAATATGCCAGGAGTCGACTGGTTTAAAAGCTTTATGAGCAGACATAGAGACCTAACTTTTAAATTGGCAGAAAATACGAAGCGCGTTAGAGGAGCTTTAACTTATGTCGTTTTTTTTTGCTCTAAATTGATTCATTTTATCCATAGACATTATAATAGTATATTATGCAACGATCATGTAATGATGGTTATTAATACACGAGCATTAACCGGGATACGAAACGAGCCAAAGGCGAGTTTCGTATGGTCTATGCGAGTGTTTTAATAACCATTACATGAGAGTTGCATACGCTATTTTTTCTACACCCGATAAAGAATCAAGACCTATAAATATTATATTTATATTGGTATTGAACACAATAACAGTAATTACTCGTATTTCTATAAAAAATTCTACAAAATTGTAATTAATGGTATTACTTCGGGTATTGGTATTTCCCTAGATTTTTGCTGCAAAATATTTTGTACTGTATTTTCTGCTTTCTCCGATATGTGTGGATATCGCTGATATGAGACATTTTAATATTATAATTATCGAAGTTTAGCTATCTACGAAAATTTAATACGTTTTGACAACTAAAACAATTACATAGAAACCTAGGACAAACGTCAAACAGCATGCTTGATTGAAAAATAGTAGGTTTCT